TTTTTTGCGAGATGAATAATAACAATTGGTTTAGATTCAGAGGTTTAACCAAAAAAAACAAAACAACATATGGTTAAAAACTATGATGGACGCCACACTGGTCAGGATAAACCTCCAGTTCGAATTTATTACCCTCCAAATTAAGTGCTATTTTCAAATGAACACCACAAACATCTGCAGTTGGAGAGAAAAACACATTATCCACTGGCCAAACTTCGCACATCAAAACACAGACACACTCTCACAGTTGTTTTCCTAAATTTTATATTTGTAATGTCTTATTTAAACTCTACCACATATGAAATTATTGCACTGTTGTTGTTGCTTATAAGAGTCACAAAAAATGTAATCACACTCCCTCTTGTGGGCACCAGTAAATGAGGTCTTTAACGTTGATTTCAAGAACAAAATCTTATTAAACACTCCCAAAAATTTGTGCTTTTGATTTGGAAAAAAATATGGTTAATGGATTCTGCTTAAAAAAAACAAAAAAAAAACACTATTGTTGTAATCCTTGCTTAGAATAATTTCACTGTTGCAGTATACAGTTATAGATGAACCAGTATCTTTAATGAATGCAGCAATAAGCTTAAGGCAAAATTCAACTAGCATGCAAAGATGCTTCTAATCAGTAAATCAGGTCATTTACCTCAATGGAAATGAATGCAAAATTCTCAGCTGTTTCAGCAGCCTGAGTGCGTATCCTCTTTAACAGATTTGTCCTTTTACTGAACTCTGCCCTCGATCTCCCGTGCCATGCCACCGTTCTCTGTCATATCTCTGAATACAAGGTATAACACCTTCTCCTACCTGACAAAGGACTTCATTCTGCTTTTCCCCAGAGGAACCCACAAGCAGCCATCTCAAATGTATTTGTGGCATGGCTGGGCTCCAGGCAGTAAGAGAGCACAAGGAAATGCTCACAAGAGGGAAACCAGCTTCTGAAACTGTGAATAAAAAAAAACAACCAAACCTTTATGAGAGAGGAAACCAAACAGAAGACGGGCACTTTATAGAGCAGGATTTCAATCTTATAGGACACGCATATGAGTTCTATTGTAACCAGTAAAGCGGTAGGCCTAATTTACTTTACAACTTAGATAAAGTATGAAAAGTCTTGTTGCATCTGCAGTGTCAGAAACAAACAAGCTAAAGTAAAAACATTTTGCTGGAACAAGATAAATTGCTTCAAATTTAGGAAAACAAGTGTAAAATTAGACATCAGTCAAAATTCAACATCAAAACATTTGTATCATCAGGAAAAATTGTCCAGCAGTCTATGGATCTTCAAAGCAGAATCCTCAAGAAGACACAGTATCCTAAGGATAATCTTGGAGAAACTCTAAAAAAGCTTTTATTTTTTTCTTTGTTTAACTTTTATTTATTACATTAATACATTTAAAGAGAAACCTCACTCTCCAAGTGACTTCAAGGGAAAATCATCATTAATTAAGATTTTTTTAATCATTATTATAGAAAACAAAACAAAAAACAATGAGATCAGAATCTACATGTTGAAACTACAGTATAAGCTGTTTCTTTCTGTGTCTAGATCATTATAAAGATTTAATGTGACAGTTTAGAGCTACTTAGTTATTAGGAGACTGAATGGATGTTATCTTTCCATTAAAAAGATAGGTGCAGCTGGGAAGGGCCCTTCATTGGATTTCTAGTCATAAGTAAGGTCCCAGCCGCTTAAAAAAACTCTTAAGGGTAAAATAATATCCCCTTACTGTCAGATTCTGACCCCAAAAGGATGACAAAAAAAGGATATGTTTGGCTTAAGAGCACAGCAACATTATTTTCAGGGAAGTTATCACAGTAAATATCTACCTGAATCTTTGCCTCTTTTGATTATTGGAATATTTCAGCCTCCATCATCCTGTCTGAAATGCCTGAGCTTTGCACGATGTGAGGATGCGTGAGGCCCCCATGATAAATGATAGCTTAGAGTGCCATACATAATCATCTGTATGTCGTGCACGTGCAGCTGGACTCCAAGTAAGCATTTTTTTTTCTCACAGTTTTAGGGCGGCGATTATCCACAGTTTGTATGAGCAACTCATTTCCATATCAAGTTGATTTCCTAAGGCAAAGAAGACACAATGTCGTCATCGTTGAGTATAGTTCAGGAAAATGTCAGAGCGATAAAGGAAATATGTCATTTGAATATTTTGGGTTGACATTCAATCAGTGCTGCTGAAGTCTGGTGAAGTACCTACTGAATTTGACTAAAACACTGGTTGACTGAAATTCTATTACGAGGTTAAAGAGCTGGGTCTCTGCATATTTGACTAATACACAAAATTAAATGGTTTAAAAAGAAATATAAACATCACATAGGTGTTAACCACAAGTAAACTGCAATGTACTTTAGGACTTTCAAGGTCTTTTTGTAACAATACACTATGGGGTATTATACAGTAATCATTGTTTCATGATGCAATTTTATATGAAAAAAAATATTAGAGGATAAGGGGTTGAAAGAAATGCTCAACTCTGAATACATTTTTAAAATCATATAAATACTTATACATAGTATGTTGTTTTTTCGACAGTAGGCTGACAGGAAAGGGGGAGAGACATGCTGCAAAGGACCACAGGCAGGATTCGAACTCTGGATGCCTAAAGCTTCCGTTCATGGGACATGCGTGCTAACTACTGCACCACCTGCACACCCCAATGTTTTGTAACTTAATTGCATATTTTTTTAGTAATTATGTTTAGGGGGGTCATTATTTGAGGTTTTCAAGCATATACATGGTGATGGCACACAGATAATGTGATACTGGTCCCAAAATGTTGATCTTTGCTGCTTCAACCCAATCTCTAAATCGCATTTCCTGCAAGCAGAATTTCAAATAAATGCTGCTGTGCCAAAAATGTTTTTTTTTTTTTTTTTTTTTTTTTTTTTTATACTTAAGTGTATGCTGTAATCCATGGATCTAACCACGATATTTTATATAAAATGTAAGGCTTATTTGTAAGTGAATTAAATGAATACAACGGAACAATAATGTAAAATAAAAGCAGGATAAAAGCAATTAAAGAAAAAAAAACATGATAAAAGCATGTAGTAAAGCAAATAAGACAGTTTGACCACAAACTTGAACTAATAATACATTAGTTAGTTTAAATTCAACCATTAAAAGCGGTTCTATAAAAATGGGTTTTTATCTTTGACTTAAAGAACTCAGGCTTTCAGCACTTTTTCAGTCTTCCGGAAGTTTGTTAAAGATAAGTGGAACATACTGTAAGAACTAAATGCTGCTCCATGTTTGGTTCTAGGTCTGGATGTACATACTAGGCTTTTATTGTCATTACACTGTCACAAGTACAGAGCAACAACATAAATTCTCTGTATTTAACCCATCCCCTCGGGGAGCAGTGGGCTGCCATCGTGGGGCGCCAAGGGAGCAGGGATTCAGAAACTCTGGATTCCAAGCTCTATGCCCTAACCACTAGGCCACTACTCTCCCTGTTATGTATTTAGGTGCTGATCCATTGAGGAATTCATAGAATAACAAAACAATTTTAAAGTCTATTTTCTGAGCTACAGGGGGCCAATGGAAAGACTTCAGAACCAGGCAGATGTGCTTTATTTTCTTAGTTCTAGTGAGAACACATATAGGAGCTTTTTGGACAAATTGTCAAATTGTGTGGAGGTTTGAGAGGATGTCCCAAATGCGGAGACTGAAGCTGATGATGGTTAGAGATTTGGTTACAGGTTTAATTTAATACGGTGGCAACAGTAGCAAAAATCCAAAAACATAAATCCGCAAAACCTGAGAACCAGGAATACTCACAAGCGGCAAAGAAATTACGGTGAACCAGCAAACAGTGACTGAGCAGAAGGTGTATATATGGGAGACAGAAACAAAGACCAGGCTAATTAGCAGATTGGGAGCAGGTGTGGACGGAGGAGTTTAGAAGGGAGCTAGGGAAAAGGAGACTGACACAAGAGGGCAACAGAGGGCAAAGAAGCAATACCTAACAACTAAAACAAAATAAAACATAACTAGAATAACACAAAATGGAAATAAAACCAATGAAAACTCAAACATAAGACTTAAACAGAACCAAAACCATAACACAAGTACAAAAAGTTCTGATATTTTCACAACAAATAATCTAAAAGAGAAAATATAAACATACTTTATATAATTAAAAAGGGTTTGGATGTAGGTGGGAATGCTTAAACCGTTAGTTTGGAATTTTTTTGTGGTTTCAAGATCATTCTGGAGGTTATTTTTTCAAGAATTGAGGTGAGGAAATGGCTGGTCAGTCGCAGGGGCATAGCCAGAAATTTTTTATAAGGGTGGCCAGGCAATAACCAATGTACAGTGAGGGGTGGCTGAAAAGAGCATGAAATTTGTACTTGTCATCGTTAATGTTAGTATATTTATGTGTATAATTTAACAATTTTTTTCTTTTTTTCTTTTTTGAATACTCCACTTGAGAGTATTACTGCTGCCACCTTCTGTATTAGGGGGGGGTGGATGGTAGGGGTAGCCACTGATTGGCTAAGGCCATGGCCACCTCTGGCCCCCCATCTAGTTCCGCCCCGGCCAGTCGGACATGTACAATGATAATGAGATAAAGATAATTATAAAGGATGAAAACCTGCTTTTTTGTTAAAGAAGTTACGAAGTAACTTAAGTTGAAGATAATAAAAAGTAAGAAAACTAGAAAAAAAAAGTCATTAAAATCAGGTGAGACCACTTCAACATGTTGCATTATAACGGAAATTAGGAGATAAGAATGTAAAGGTGTATGACCCGTAGGCAGCTGTTTAATCATGCCATCAATTGATGATAGTGGGGAGAGGAGAGCGGCACCATGGCGCTGCTGCACTCTGATTGGTCCGAGAGCTGAACTCGTAACATAAAGCGCTCCCATATAAACCCGTGCAGACCTGACATCGGTGCAATCTGTCATTGAAGTGAAAAGCAAAGAGAGCAGCGCACTGTTGGAGGAATTGACTTGTTCCAGCATTTGCTCAACAAAGACTCCAGGAGCGCTGAACTGCACACAAAGCACGAATTGTCTCTGCGCGTTTAATTTTTTTATCTCTTGCGCTGGGAGGACAATGCCTTTGGGGACCGGACTTTTGCTCCTGATGGTGCTGAATGCATCTGCTTATGAACTGGAGCAAAACGACTCCTATTCAGCCAGGAGAGTACGCTTCTCTGTCAACAGCCCTAGTAAGTAGCAAGATGCCTCCATGCACTGCTTTCTGGTTTTATTTTACTCATCATTGAGATGTTTTATCCTCGAGATCATTTCCTCTTTTCGTTATATTTTTGGTTGTTTCTTTTTTTCTTTTTTCTTTTTTTGGCCTATGCAGGCTTTTCTGTGTGATCAAGCGAGTAGCTTCACGGGTGCGGGATTAACGCGGTGCTTCTTGCCGGTGTCCTGCCGGCAACAGATGAGCATGGAGCTCGGTGCTGACTCCTGCGCGCAGGCTGTGTCATGCTGTTGGTCTCTGTCTCCGCTGCATTTATCATAATAGTGGTGGACTTTTGTTCTAGGATTTAATGTGTTCTTCAAAGTTACAAATAGAATTAGATTTCACCAATGTGCCATTACATCTGGTCCCTCAGAAAAAAAAGAGCAAGAAAGCAGCTTGCTACCAGAGGTGGGGGTGTGGGGTTAGATACATTCATGTAGCACCTTAGATCCATTATATTTTAGTAAGCAATCATATTCCTATGTGATATTCTGCAAGGAATGACTCTGCAAGGCATGTAGCCTATCTCATGTTGCTTTCTGAGCACAGTGATAAAAAGGGAAAAGGGAGCAGGGGCGCTCGTTCATTCTCCTAGAAACTGCTTCATCATCATAAGATTTTGGTCTGACACACTCTGGATTTTCTGAGCAGTATCTTGTCCCTTTATGGTAGGTACATTGTTTTGAGTCTTTAGGTCAAACACATAGGACCCCTGACTCAAAAGGCTGCCAAGAAGGATCAGGCGCCTCCATTGAATAGGGCTTGAGTCATTCTATCTCAGTGTAGTCTCAGATAAAGATTTGGAAGAACCCAACCTGCTCATTTAAAAGAATGTATTTAATGCTTTGTCTTGATGTGAAATGCGGAATTTAAACTGAGTTCTTTTTACACCTAGATCTTTTTTTCTTCCTTTTTTTTGAGGGGAGGCAAAAAGATCTAAAGGGCGAGCATGCTGAGAAATGTGCTGTTTTTTAGAGGATTTGAAGGCTGGGGTTATTGGTGGGTTAATCAGCCTAAAAACTATTCCAGTCATATAAAATCTGTGTAATCACTAATTAGACATTTTTGAAAATAGATACAATCACCTCCATGCGCATGAAACAATATAGCTAAAGGAGCCTTGTTAACTGTTAAATATATAAAAATATTTGGTGGACTGGTGTTAATATTGCAGTTCAGATTAATTTTAAAAGATAGTAATTATGGATGTCATAGTTAGCTTTATAAGGATATGTCAACACCTTCTGTTTCTTGTTATGACTATTTTAAGAGACACATGGAAGTCTTTGAAAAAAGACACAGTCCAAGGTTTTTTTTTTTAGCTTTAAGGCATCCAATCTCCAGTCAAGTCATTGAGTAACTGTACATCTTTTGTGAATCACCAAAGTATGAAACATTCCCTTTTGTCGGCTGCATTCTTTTGGCTAAATCCTTGGCAAGTCTTGTGTAATGAGCTCAGTGATTTACCAGTGAACCCGCTGTTGGTTCCCATGCTGACAGATCATTCTCTGTGCACACAGCAGATGTGGCACGCTGCCTCAACAGTGCCCTCCAAGTTGGCTGCGGAGCGTTTGCTTGCCTGGAAAACTCAACATGTGACACAGATGGCTTGCATGACATTTGCAAGTCCTTCCTGTACAGTGCTGCTAAATTTGACACTCAGGTAGAGAATTTAATTCTTTCTCTCTCTCTTCCTCTCTCTCTGATTGCCTCTTGCTGGGTCAGATTACATGGGTGTAACTGTGCAGGACATTAGAAACGTTTAAAGAATTGCTCTTTTCTTTTCAGGGTAAAGCATTTGTAAAGGAGAGCCTTAAGTGTATTGCCAATGGCATAATCTCTAAGGCATTCCCCTCCATCCGCCGCTGTTCCACCTTCCAAAGAATGATAACTGAAGTCCAGGAGGAGTGCTATAGCAAGCTGGGCATCTGCACTGTCGCCCAAGCTAATCCAGATGCTATTGGTGAAGTTGCACAGCTACCAAGTCATTTCCCCAATAGGTGAGCTTTTCCCTTTCTTTACAAGTAATCGCTTCAGTCAGAACAAAATAAAAGATGCTCTGCTGAATCCTGTTTCTTAGTCTATGATTAGAGAGGAGAGCACAATCTACACATTTTGTGCATTTCTAAAGGCTCCTGTGATTTTTATGCCATTAAAATAAATATCATAGTGTAATAGAGAATCACTGAAGAACATCCAGTTTGGATGTTTTCATTACTACTGGGTTGCAGTTTGGGTGTGAACACAAAAGGAGGGGAGGATGGAGCATGATCTGCAGTAAAATGTGCTATTTGTATGACATAAGAAAACACAAGATGAACATTACATTTGTTTAAAATGCTTTTTAAAATTTTAAAACCTCTTATATGTTCTTTTGCTATTCTCTTGTTTTATGTTAAAGACAGACAGAAAACAGTATATAATAGTAAAGAGCAAGGCAACCACTCAATGGTTTTTGAAACATTGTAGATATATCAAGTCTTCCTGAGTTAATACTTAGAACCACCTTTTGCACAATAAAAAGTAGCAAATGTAGAACATGTCTCTAAAATGTCCTTATAGGGCCTAATCTACAGCAGGAAAACTTGATAGCAAGCACAAAGTTGATCTCTTAACTGGGTGTACAAAGAATTGCATCTGGGAAATTAGCAAAATAGCGGCATTATTCAGCTACTATTTTTGCCCCCCTCAATTTGCAGAACGTGTGTTAATCATCAAAATATGTAAAGTCCTGGGAGGAGATAAAAAGTTAATTACTTAACACCTACAATGTAGTTTATTAAATGTGAAATGGATGACCGGTGCAGTTTCTGCATCCATATTTGCCACTTTTGAAAGTCAGATGTAAACTCCCTAGCACTGTGGAGAGAGGATGTGAAGTCACAATAAAAGACAGAGGAAGAGGATAGTCTGTATATTTGACATATTTAAACAGTCAGAAATTAAATCCCAGAGTTAATATCTCCCGACCAAGCAATGCTATTTTTGAGCTGCTGGGTAAACTAAAGGTTCACCTGAAGCTAGTCACAAATAGAGGCCATGCTACGTGTCCTATAAATATAAAAAACAAAAACTATTGCGAAAACTGGCAAAAACTATTGCATCAAAATATTTCCCTACTGTGCTGTCCAGCAGTGCTATGTTCTTTTTAGAGGTGGTGCAGTTTTGTAATTAAAACTGACATTAGATCCAGTTGAAAAAGGCTTGCCCAAATTCTGTATTTTAAAAGCCGAAATAATTTATTTACTGTACCACAGCACTCATGAATATAAAGGACCTCTTTTTCTACAGGGAAATAAAAATGTTTGTGTTAGTCAGTGGTCCAATGTGTTATCATATCATGATATTATATAAATAGCTTCTCTCTGGATGTTACTATCATAGTGGAGCTGTTCACACATCTGTGGTGCTGAAATCACACAATCTACATTAATGGATAGTTTCACCTGTCTTTCTTTTTACTCAAGTTATGCATTTGGAACGACACTCATTTGTCACAGAAATTTTGTTCTTTTTTTTTTGTAAGAACTTCTGCAAGCAAACCAAAATTTTTTCTTTTTGTTTATAAGCTAAAAGTAATAATATGACCTTTGATAAAACAAAATAGAAGAAACAGAAAATCTCAAATTATCCATCAGAAAAAAAAAAAGTTTCCTGCGTCCATGGTGTCTACAAAGAAGATTTGAGATCAGTGTTTTCAGTGACATTGCTTTCAGAAATTAAAACAATAAACATGACTGGCTGCAAACATTGGAATGATCCAGGTAACACAGGCTATTCCACTGTGTTTGTGCTTCCATAAGCAATGGACTCTGATTTTTTTTTTTCAATCAACAACAATGAAAGTAGTTTCCCTTTGCTCTGCTAGTATTTTATCCACAAATCCACCTTTAAATAAGGTGCTTTGCACCACTTCTTTCATATGAATATACCATCTGAACTTCCAAGGTAGCTTTTGTTATGTCTGTAGGGTTATTGTCCTCTCTAACATAGACCTCAGCTCTATTTCAATTCAATTCAGTTTAACCATATAGTGCCATTTCACAACAACTGTCACCTCTTGGCAGTTAAGAGACAATCCAATCAGATTATACAGTCAGATTGTTAAAAACAAATAAGGAAAACCCACTGATTGCTGAAATCATTGACTTGCAGGGTACTCCTCCTGAATGAGTATGTAGCATCAGTGGGTAGAACACAGAAGCACAGATCCATAAAAAACTTCCTATGTGAAAAAAGGTAAACTAGTTCCAAAGGCAGCATTGTCCAGGAAAGAAACAGTTAAGCAGACAACCTATGAGCCAGTTACAATGTCAAAAGGATGAAATAGAGCACATAAAGTTCACCACAATAAAGCTGTTCCTATAATACGACATGAGCAACAAGACTAAATACCAAAAAAAAAGGCCCCAGTCTATCATCTATAACCAAGGGTGTTAGAGGCAGCGATCATGTTTCTCTCCAGTATGTGGTAACAGCGAAACAGGAAAAGACCAGATAAAGCAAATATGACAAAAAATAAAATAAAAAATACAGTTAAACGTTAAGTTAGTTGTTGAGCTTACAAATACTGGCAAATTTGAGAATAAAAATAGAATGAAGCAGAGTCAACAAAAGTGGTACCTACATTATACAGGTGCTGGTCATAAAATTAGAATATCATGAAAAAGTTGATTGATTTCAGTAATTCCATTTAAAAAGTGAAACTTGTATATTATATTCATACATTACATACAAACTCATATATTTCAGATGTTTATTTTGTTTAATTTTGATGATTACAAATGACAACAAATGAAAATCTCAAATTCATCATATCAGAAAATTAGAATATTGTGAAAAGGTTCAAAATTGATGGCCCCTGGTGCCACACTCTAATCAGCTAATTAACTCAAACCACCTGCAAAAGCCTTTAAATGGTCTTTCAGTCTAGTTCTATAGGCTACACAATCATGGGGAAGACTGCTGACTTGACAGTTGTCCAAAAGACGACCATCGACACCTTGCACAAGGAGGGCAAGACACAAAAGGTCATCGCTAAAGAGGCTGGCTGTTCACAGAGCTCAGTGTCCAAGCACATTAATAGAGAGGCGAAGGGAAGGAAAAGATGTGGTCGAAAAAAGTGTACAAGCAAGAGAGATAACCGCACCCTGGAGAGGATTGTGAAACAAAACCCATTCAAAAATGTGGGGGAGATTCACAAAGAGTGGACTGCAGCTGGAGTGAGTGCTTCAAGAACCACCACACACAGACGTATGAAAGACATGGGTTTCTGCTGTCGCATTCCTTGTGTCAAGCCACTCTTGAACCACAGACAGCGTCAGAAGCGTCTTGCCTGGGCTAAAGAGAAACAGGACTGGACTGCTGGTGAGTGGTCCAAAGTCATGTTCTCTGATGAAAGTAAATTTTGCATTTCCTTTGGAAATCAAGGTCCCAGAGTCTGGAGGAAAAGAAGAGAGGCACTTCATCCACGTTGCTTGAAGTCCAGTGTAAAGTTTCCACAGTCAGTGATGGTTTGGGGTGCCATGTCATCTGCTGGTGTTGGTCCATTGTGTTTTCTGAGGTCCAGGGTCAACGCAGCCACATACCAGGAAGTTTTAGGGCACTTCATGCTTCCTGCAGCTGACCAACTTTTTGGAGATGCAGATTTCATTTTCCAGGACTTGGCACCTGCACACAGTGCCAAAGCTACCAGTACCTGGTTGAAGGACCATGGTATCCCTGTTCTTAATTGGCCAGCAAACTCTCCTGACCTTAACCCCATAGAAAATCTATGGGGTATTGTGAAGAAGAAGATGCAATACACCAGACCCAACAATTCAGAAGAGCTAAAAGCCACTATTAGAGCAACCTGGGCTATCATAACACCTGAGCAGTGCCACAGACTGATCGACTCCATGCCACGCCGCATTGCTGCAGTAATACAGGCCAAAGGAGGCCCAACTAAATACTGAGTGCTGTACATGCTCATACTTTTCATGTTCATACTTTTCAGTTGGCCAACATTTCTATAAATCCTTTGTTTTTATTGGTCTTCAGTAATATTCTAATTTTCTGATATGATGAATTTGAGATTTTCATTTGTTGTCATTTGTAATCATCAAAATTAAACAAAATAAACATCTGAAATATATGAGTTTGTATGTAATGTATGAATATAATATACAAGTTTCACTTTTTAAATGGAATTACTGAAATCAATCTACTTTTTCATGATATTCTAATTTTATGACCAGCACCTGTATATTCCAGCAGCCTGACTATACCAGCATAGCTACAAGTATAAGCATAGCTCAGTATAGGTGGGAGTGGCGGCCTAGTGGTTAGGGCATACTGTAGAGCTTGGAATCCTTAGGTTGTGAGTTCCAAACCCACTTCCACAGATTGCCTCTCTGAGCAAGACCCTTAGCCCTTATTGCTCCTTGGGCATCCCATGATGGCAGCTCACTGCATCCCCAAGGGGATGGGTTAAATGCAGAGGTACATTTCTCCGATGTGAGATCAATAAATTTAAATTATTATTATATAATAACCTAAACCCTCCCTTACTAAACCTCCCCTGTAAATTTCATAAAATTATTGGTAAAATATGTATTGTAAAACTTCATAAGTGTAGTCATTAAACACCATTAAATAGTCACTAAATGCACATGATTTCATGACTACTGTATGGTGCGTGCTAAACAGCTGTTTATTCAGCTCTCTGACATGATCTCCCCTCCGCTCTGGAGCAGCAGTACCCTGCCAGTCAACCTCTATTAGAAATGCCTGTTGAGGTTTGAGCCTCCGTCCGTTGAACTAAGCAGCGAGAAAGTAGAGCCTTGATTGGATAACGTGCCAAAATATGTCACTTTCAGTGAGGCTACACCTATTAGAGGGTCTATGGAGCAGGCCTATAGAACCAGCTGGCTGCTCAATGCTAATAAGCAAGCAGAAAGGAAAGCAACAGAGTGCTGAACTCATGGTTTCTGGAATTTATTATTCCAGACACAATGACATTGTCACCCGTTTTTGTGATTTGTTTTATATAATTCAACATTTGTTAATGCAATTACGTGAAAAGTGAATTTAATTAACGCAATTTAGACTCCCTGTTTCTGAGAGTGGCAGCCGCCACTGTATATACGTGTATAGATAGATAGATAGATAGATAGATAGATAGATAGATAGATAGATAGATAGATAGATAGATAGATAGATAGATAGATAGATAGATAGATAGATAGATAGATAGATAGATAGATAGATAGATATCAATATAGCCCACATCATTTTTTGTAGACAACTGGTCTGATCAGGGAGCGCGCCAGAAAAAATTACGGAGTCTGACATTGTTTTAGTCTTTCACACAAAGCAACTTTAATTTTAGTGACCTCTGATTGGCATAACCAGGTGTCCTTACTGCCAGGGTGATAAACAATCCTACTGTACTTAACCTTATCCTTAGCCTGCAGATTGAGAAAGGATTTGATGTTGCTCGTTCTGACCCCGTCAAACATTTGAATTTGGTCCCTGGTCTCTCTAATGCCAGGTTTCTTACAATGAAGCTGTGAATTACCCGTATCGGCTTCTCAGATCTTGGTGACCCCTAGGTAAAATTTGGGACTTTCTATGTACTGTCACCCAGCTGTTTTGGGTTCCGGGCTGTTCAGGAACTGATGGAGGGCCACTCTGTGGACCTAACCATAGTCTTGGTGGCTCTGAGCTATTAGATACTGGGCCTAGTCAGAATTCTGGATGTACTAACAGCCTAAAGCTGTGACTCCAGCTCTGACACCCTTTCTGCCAAAGCTACAAAAATACTACACTTATAAACATACCATTATTGCTTAACAAGGAGGAGGTATAACAGAACACCTGACAGGTTCAGTTCACAGAAGAATCCAATAGGAGTCCGAAGACAGGCCAGGCAAACTGATCAGACAGGGGCTGGGAGGCTCAAAGGTCAAAATACAGAAACGGATCAGGATCAGGCAATCAGAACACCATAGAAAACTCTAGAGAACTCTCAAAACCAAATGCTAAAAAATAATCTGGCACTAACGGCTGGAAATATGCAGTATAAATAGGAGCTAGAACAGGTGGATCAGATGAGAGCAGATGAAAACTGGGCGGAGCCAAGCAGGTGAATGAAATTAGCAATCAACCAGCCATCAGCAGCATAATCATGACAAACAGAGAGCCTGAGCAGCACCCCAGAAGGTCTACATAAGCCAATAACAGGTTATGAAGACTGTTTTAGCTTGTGTTTTTCAAGGAATGCATTGTGTTTAGCTACAAAAAAACAAACCCACAACATGGTGGGGATGTGTCATCTTTGGGTTGTTTTTTTCACTATGTGTATTTATAGTGGTACCTTTTCCCAGGGGTATGTTGTCCTCTTAATATTATTAACATATATATGACATTTGTGTTAATTTCCCTCCCACTCCCAAATTATAGACAACTTTTTGTTCATCTATCACATAAAATCCTAATAACTTATGTTGATGTTTGTTATTTAATGTGTAAAAATGTCAAAGTGATTTACAGGGTTTGCTTTCTGAATGTGTTCACTCATGCTGGATATTTTTGTCCAATTATTTTGCAACTCTGAAAGAAAATTCACTGTTTCTGTTATCCTAGGTTTTATGGTAAGTTACTACAGAGCCTGATGGACTGTGATGAGGACACTGTTGACCGTATTAGAACCAGCATGGTGCCACGTCTGGGTCCGGAGATGACCATGCTCATACAGTTGCTGCAGGACAAGCCCTGCCCCTCCACTGATAGTGCAGCAGCCTCTGCTGTACCAACCGGCGTAGAGACCCGTGCAAGCTGGCGCTGGTCCGTGGGTTCCAACATGTACAAAATCCAGCCCAATGTGCGAAACAGAGACTCAACCAGCCATTTAGGCAAAAAGCGCCCTGGCAGTGATGGGTCCTAACTTTCACTCAAATAAGGAAAACTCCACACAGTTCTCAAAACAACACATATATTTTGGCCATTCCCCAGCGGTGATGAAATCTGTGTCTCTTGTAGTTTGGAAATTATTGAAACATGCACCTCTTGGGAATGCCAGACTGCCCATAGAGTCGATATCAGTTTGATTGTTGTTATATTGTATATCCTACATGTTAGGCTTGAGTGAACCCGTCTTTCATTGATTTCTAAATGTGTCTGCTCACACTCTGTGTTGAACATGTGGCTGACAAAAAACAAAATGTCACTTTTCAAAATTTCCTCATGAATATAAGTCAGTAGCTTAAATATTATTGGTTGAAATTATTGGTAGGTGTTTGTTATATTTCTTCAACGAGACCAGTAAAATGTGAGCATGAGGTATGGGTGTCATAGCACTTAACATAATACTTAAATGTACTGTATACCAACTTATATGAGACAGCCATAATCTGCCCTCTAAAAGAGTGCTCATATGGACTAGGTCTGTGGTGGTTTTATGTTACCTTAAAGTGACCAAAAACACCTAAAACTGCCCTGAATGCAATCCATTAAAATGCCAAAATGCTTATCTTTAGCACATAGAGTTTAGGTTTTATTTTCCTGATGGCAGAAAAAGGATTGTCCAGGTCTTGGCCAAGTCTATCTAATATCTTATATCCAGACACTTGCAATGTATAAGACTGTTGAGCTACATGCAGAACCAGTTTAGTTCTTAACTGAGTGAGAAGCATCCATGTATGTGTAGTAACTGAATGACATGTTCACTAATGAGAGTGAGAGCAGCCATCCTCTCGGACTGTGATGATCTTTGCTCTCGGAGGTGAACCATGTGACACTGAGTTCCTGTATCAAGACAGAGACTATTTAAAAAAAGCCTTGATGATATTTATTTTCCTACTTCTTTATTTAATGTTTCCTTTTATTTTATGCATTACTGTAGTTTAGCATAGTTTACAGGTTAATAGCAGTTAATTCATGACTCCTATTTGAACATGAGCTCTATGCCAAAAAAAGGTGAGATAACACTCTGGTGACTGAATGGGACCTGTGTCATGACTCTGTGCTGGCCATAGGGGAACAAGGTTGGTCATTCAGGTGAGATGATTTCATTTGAGGGTGTTTAAAGAGAATGCTTTTGTTTTCAAACAAAAGCTGCTGTTGCTAGAAGTCCACTTTCAGAGATTTTTGTGCACTTTAGTGAACATTGACTCAGTAACACAAACACCAGTGTAAAGAACCCTTTAAAAATGTGCCACTAATGCGATCTATTCGACGTGTCATACACCTGAACTGCTTTTACAAATTGATTTGTGTGGTAAGTGCTATGCTGCTAGTTCTGGTTATAGTGTGTGGATTCTGAAGGACGTAGTAACTTGGCAACTTTGAACAATAGACTGCAAAGATTATCATAATATTATCATAAATGCCATTTTCTACATTTGCCTGGACATAAGTAACAAGAAGAAATGGTGTAAAAATGTGTCACATAAGCCTGTCGCTCCGAATATTCGGATTGGATTTGACAGGATTTAAATAAAATTGTAATCCAGCCGAAGGAATGGTTTATATCGATTAACTACTCTGATTGGCATGCATGTAAATGCTTGACAGAATTAACTAATTCTAAATGAGGAATGTTGACCTGAGTGCATGTGTGTGCATTCCAGCAAACAGATGCAGTTTGTTATTTAACAGATTAAAGAGTGAAAGAGCATATATTTGCTATACCTATTAATTCTTCGAACAGGTATAGCACTTGTTGAAGTGCTCCTTCAACAAGTGCTATACACAACAAGTGGGAGCACTTCAACAAGTCCTCCCACTTGTTGCAGTGCTTCAGCATGTCCTCAGAAAACTGTCTTAAAAATAACAGCTTATGAATGCTAGAAATAACTACCCTTAAGTCTTCTTTTCTCAGCAACGTCATTTACACTAGGGCGTTAATGTTAAAAGAAACAGGTAGTACTTATTTTGTATACACTGATCAAAAAAAGATCCAATTCATTAAAGCCCTTTTTCATTGAAAATAGCTTGTTAACCCATTTTCAATGTATTTCAAACATTGGTCGACAGGCTTACAATTGGCATTTGGCTCCCTTCCCACTGGCAACAATTGCTGGGTCTAACCCCCTGTTGGCAAGCTGCGTGGCCTCTATCCCCCTGCAGCTGTATGTCTGGTGACACCATCACGCTGGGTTAGCGCTAATGACATCACCAGTGTTAAAGAAATCAGGAAAGTAAACAATGGAGAGCAATATGTAGAGGAGCAAAGGCGTAGTCCGTGTTCTTTATTGGTTTGCTCTTTTATCTGTCCGAATCCCATTTCACCAGAGCTAAGTCATGTTTATCGAATGTAAACACAGTTGTTTTGGCTTGTTAGATCAGATGTGAATGGTCTAGTGTAGTGACTTGCCGATCAGAGCCGAGGCAATTTTAACGTGGGCCACTTGCCGATTCGTTTGACTGTTCCAACTACTTCAAAAAGCCAATTTTTCCCGGGTTTAAACAGTTCTTTCAGCCAATAGGAAAGGGGTATAAATTCTGAACTAGCTGATCAATAGCCTGCACTATTGAAGCTGAAAATCAACCAGTGAGAGACATCTGATAGCTTCTCAGTGAATCTCTAAAACTGCTGAAACCATTTTTTCTAATTAATTTTCTTTAAACATATGACAATTACTTGGTAAATTATTCTGATTATTCCAAAATGATCCATTGTGCATTTACACAATTAAATAAAGGCCTCTACTAGATATTAACTGAGCAACTGTATTTCTAAATCAGGTCTTTAACGTGATACTATGTATGCACCTATGCTTTAGGTGCTGAGAAGGGTCTTCATGCTGGTGTTTGACTTCAGATGTACCCTTATGATGAATTATGGTTTGGCACTGTGGACTTCAAGAGATAATAGATGGCGTCTGTTGGCTTAGAGTGAAATGAATTTAGTTCAGCTCCACCGGTTTATTAAAATATGTGCACATCAAGAAAGCATTATAGAAGGGAACGTCTACCTTTGGTTAAGTTTCATTTAAAATTTAATTTATTTAAAAAAAACTTAAATATCAAAAATAGTTCTGATTACAATGGTTCTATTGTTGATAGAGGTTTTTTTTGTTTTGACTTAATTAAAGAACCGATGGCAGTCTTTTCAATGCAAGTTATTTTGTCTTGACTAAAGCACAGATATTATAAAGAAAAAGTTTTATTTTTCAGTCTCACTTTAAGAGCTAAACTAAGAATTCCAAACTATGCAATAATAACTGAGAAAGGATTCACTTTAACACAGAAATTGACCTTTATTTCATCCATCTCCAGCTGATGCTGCTTGAGTAAAGCTGCACCATGTGTGCTCTCATGCTGCACTCACAGTGTGAATGCATTGCACCTCTGTGATGTTTTCTCTTTCCGTGCTTTGTCTAAAACCAGTTCTTTTGTTCTGTGAACAGGAATGCTTCTTTCATGTCATGATGTGCAAAAGGGGGGATATATTCCTAAAGAAATACTCGGTAGTTAAGAACTATAGTGACACTGTAGTATATACTAGCTTGTATTTTATTTTGAATATGCACTTTGCATCTTAACCACTATAAAGGGCATTGAAAACATTCAGCATGTTTGCAACTGAGGCATATTTTACTTACCCAGTGAATGGAGACGAGTTTGAATGCTGCGTATCCTGAGGGGTTCAAGGCTTTTTCGTGTTCTGTTGATCCATTCGTGTGTATCTTTGTTGACCATGGGTAAATCTAAAACCCAACAGCTGCTGCTAAAACTACCCTGTATGATGCTGGAATCTGTCAGCACACAATGAGCTCAGCATCAGTCATCTAAACGTCTTACTGTTGTTCAATGTCTTCATATTTATTTTTCTATCATGTCAGATTAATTTGGCAAGGGCAAACTGACTGTTTCCTCACCAAGTAAAATGTAACCATAATTTTAGAGAATGTACCTGCATACTGAATGTCTCCAGTCAAGGACAGGCCAAGTTGGCCAAGAAAGCTTTTGAGAAAACTCAAAGTCCTAGAAGTTTTTTCTTTTCTTTTTTTTTTCATTTGAATCCTTTTTTTACATTTTTTTTTTATCCAGGTATTGGGTGCTTAAGTTGAAACTGGAGCATAGCTAGATTGGCCTGTGGTGAGCTTTGTCAAACTGTTCCTGTTACTACTCTAAACTGAAGCCGTCTCTCACTTCTGGAGCTTCATGGTACTCTTTGCCCTCAAAACTTGAAACAGATTATTGTGCTTTAATTTGAAAATCTTCAGTGATAAGTAAAAATCTAATTTAGTTTTAATACAACAGTGAAGGTTATTTTAGATATTCAGACATATCTGATTCAAAACTGTGTTTCTATTATAGAAGATCACTGAAGTCTCTCATTATAGATTCTATGTAACGCATGATAAACCCTTGTGATTCACTTGCACTTTAAAATACACCCATACATATATATGCCCACACTGTGTATATGTTTGGGTTTTTCCTCTGTACTGAAAAGTCATAAAAGATACAAATGCATCAACTGTGTGTCTTTTGCTGATCATAAAAAAATAAACTATTTCTCAAATCTAGAACTTTGTGTGGAACATTTCTGCTGCTGCTGTTTAACTTATATGAACCCATCGAAAGGCAACTTTTCATAAAACATCTATTGTTGCAAAGTCCTTGAAGCTTAAAATTCTTTCCTTCAGTTGTTTTCATATAATTATCAAGCTGTGCTGGTTAGGAAGTTTACATTGCATCTTTTCACTGAAAAACCAAAAACAATCCTTAGACTTGCAAAACTATTTAGACTTAAATGCCACAGACTAACCAGATGGCTGAACATGCATAAGCCGATTCCTAACACCTGAATGTTTTTTTTTTGTTGTCACAATTGTACATTATACTGGATTTGATTATGATCTTATAGAGCCTCACCTAAGAATAATAAGTATAGCTAATCTATTTGAAATATATATTCTATTTAAAGTAAAAAAGTATGTTTTTATTTTTTATTTTATTAATTTATTTAGGTTGAACATAGGGAGAATATGTAACCAGAAAAGCCATTAAAAATGTTGAGGAAAGGCATCATCATCATTTATATATTTCTGTCTGGATGAGGTCTTGTCTAAAGTGTTACATTTTCTGGAAGCAAGAGAAACATATTTGATAGTTAATTAAATTAGTGAAAAATATTTAATAATTTTTTTTATTAAGTATAAAAAAATATATATTTATTCAATGCATGCATCTTAAGTAACATTTAAATGTTTACATTTACATTTAAGTGTTGAGTTTTTTTGCTCCATCAGAGCGCTTATAAGCTATGACTGCCTTGTCAGGATTTTGCAGGTGAGGGCAAACCAAAGTAAAGCTGTTCCTGTAGCTGGGGTGGCTTCTTCAGGTGTGAGCTGCTGCACCCTTCATGTTAAAGTGCCTGACCGTGTACGGAGGGGAAGATTCTGGTACTGTTTTTTCCTGTTTCCACCTGACCTTGTACACAAACAGGCTTTCCAGGATCCATGCGTGTGGTATTGAGTCATAGGCTTTATTATAATCAACCCAGTCAGTGCACAGGTTCCTTTGTCTGGTGTTTCAGCCTCGGACAACGGTTCTGTAAACCAGCAGTTGGTGTTTGGCTCCTCTGGACTTTTTACAAAGGCCTTTCTGCACCTCTGTCGTGTCAATACATGTGCTCACTTATCTTTGCCATTACAATGCCTGACAGGGGCTTCCATGTTGTAGAGAGGCAGGATATTGGCCGATAATTGGGTGGGATTGCCCCGCTCTGGGAATCTTTCATTGTCATTATTCATTATCAGGAAAGCCAGTTCAGCCCTCATTCAGCCATTCAGAGTAGGTCCTGTTTTTCAGCAGCCAGGTCAATTGTGCTGTTGCTGGAGTTGACAAACTCCTTTTTCCCGCCTGTTTTGTGCCAGAAATTGGTCTAATGTAACATCTGTCTATTTGCAATTTTGCAAAACCTTGTGTACTGTATGTAAAATATGCAATGTAAAATATGCAAAAGGTACACATTTTTTATATACTTTATCTGCATTGTTGACAATTATTACCCTCTGAAGTAAATGTGTCAATCATAATTTCCCAATCAATTGAGGACTAATATAAACCCTAATTTCTTTGCTGTTGTTTACTTTTCTTTAGCATACAACTGAGGCTTTTACAGAACATTTGAGTAGGAATATTGGAAGATGAATACAATTGCAAGCCATATACAGCTGCTGGTCATAAAATTAGAATATCATGAAAAAGTAGATTGATTTCAGTAATTCCATTTAAAAAGTGAAACTTGTATATTATATTCATACATTACATACAAACTCATATATTTCAGATGTTTATTTTGTTTAATTTTGATGATTACAAATGACAACAAATGAAAATCTCAAATTCATCATATCAGAAAATTAGAATATTACTGAAGACCAATAAAAACAAAGGATTTATAGAAATGTTGGCCAACTGAAAAGTATGAACATGAAAAGTATGAGCATGTACAGCACTCAGTATTTAGTTGGGCCTCCTTTGGCCTGTATTACTGCAGCAATGCGGCGTGGCATGGAGTCGATCAGTCTGTGGCACTGCTCAGGTGTTATGATAGCCCAGGTTGCTCTAATAGTGGCTTTTAGCTCTTCTGAATTGTTGGGTCTGGTGTATTGCATCTTCTTCTTCACAATACCCCATAGATTTTCTATGGGGTTAAGGTCAGGAGAGTTTGCTGGCCAATTAAGAACAGGGATACCATGGTCCTTCAACCAGGTACTGGTAGCTTTGGCACTGTGTGCAGGTGCCAAGTCCTGTTGGAAAATGAAATCTGCATCTCCAAAAAGTTGGTCAGCTGCAGGAAGCATGAAGTGCTCTAAAACTTCCTGGTATGTGGCTGCGTTGACCCTGGACCTCAGAAAACACAATGGACCAACACCAGCAGATGACATGGCACCCCAAACCATCACTGACTGTGGAAACTTTACACTGGACTTCAAGCAACGTGGATGAAGTGCCTCTCTTCTTTTCCTCCAGACTCTGGGACCTTGATTTCCAAAGGAAATGCAAAATTTACTTTCATCAGAGAACATGACTTTGGACCACTCACCAGCAGTCCAGTCCTGTTTCTCTTTAGACGCTTCTGACGCTGTCTGTGGTTCAAGAGTGGCTTGACACAAGGAATGCGACAGCAGAAACCCATGTCTTTCATACGTCTGTGTGTGGTGGTTCTTGAAGCACTCACTCCAGCTGCAGTCCACTCTTTGTGAATCTCCCCCACATTTTTGAATGGGTTTTGTTTCACAATCCTCTCCAGGGTGCGGTTATCTCTCTTGCTTGTACACTTTTTTCGACCACATCTTTTCCTTCCCTTCGCCTCTCTATTAATGTGCTTGGACACTGAGCTCTGTGAACAGCCAGCCTCTTTAGCGATGACCTTTTGTGTCTTGCCCTCCTTGTGCAAGGTGTCGATGGTCGTCTTTTGGACAACTGTCAAGTCAGCAGTCTTCCCCATGATTGTGTAGCCTATAGAACTAGACTGAAAGACCATTTAAAGGCTTTTGCAGGTGGTTTGAGTTAATTAGCTGATTAGAGTGTGGCACCAGGGGCCATCAATTTTGAACCTTTTCACAATATTCTAATTTTCTGATATGATGAATTTGAGATTTTCATTTGTTGTCATTTGTAATCATCAAAATTAAACAAAATAAACATCTGAAATATATGAGTTTGTATGTAATGTATGAATATAATATACAAGTTTCACTTTTTAAATGGAATTACTGAAATCAATCTACTTTTTCATGATATTCTAATTTTATGACCAGCACCTGTATTTCAGATTTTTAACAGTGAAGAATATGAAAAAACATATAGCCTTTTCCTTGAACGTTTTACACTTGGCCATTACTGTTTGTCAGTCCATTACATTAAAATTCTGCTGAAAATGCACTGTGGCTATGTATGTGTTATTGTAAAATGAAAAAAAAATTGGACAACTAATTTTTCAAAGCAAAATTAGTTGCTAGGTATATACATATAAAACACATTAAATAATAATAGCACTGTTTAGTGAAAATAGGTACTGATTAATGTGTTTTGCACCTCTCTGTTTCATTTATTTTCTAAAAACATTTAACGTAAAATGAAGGTTAATATATTTGTCCTCTTTAGTTTGAGCTCCTGTAGAGGGGCCCATTGTTTCAGCAAGTCATGATCTCATACAGATAATGCATATGTCAAGTCTGCCATGGAGGTTCCTATCCTATAGCTCTCAGCTCAGCACCAAATTTGGAGATGCTGAGTGAAGGAAATGGCAATAAAAGTGACCACCTTTGAGTGTTATGAGTGTTGTGCTTCTGATTGGGATCTAAATTTGCAAACATATTTTAGTTCATTCCTTTTTATTTACCCTTTTCAAAAACTTTGTTTCAAAAGTCAATTTTTTTTTTCAGTGCGCTTTGTGCAGCATGGCCTGAAACTAACAAAGTATTACATTCTTTGTGGTGAATGCTACAACAGCTACACAATCAAGCATCAATAATTAGAACAAAAATAAATCACTCTGGTTAACGGCAAGCCATGAGCATGTGTTATAAATCCTGCAATACTCCATGAAGGAGGCTGAGGGACACAGACAGTGGCTCCAGCTGAAAATGAACTTAGTTAAACTTAGCACAAAGCAGCTGAAACTGCAGAGCGACTGTTTGGTTTGAGAGCCTGAGGAAAAAGAGGGGGCAGAATGCAAGAGGCTCCGTGAACACTAATCTCAGTCAGAGGGAGATATAATTTCATGCCTATTTAGAGAAGAGTCCTGAAGGGCTTTCTCATCAGCCGTTCTCCCGTCTCATGGATAGGTGATGCAGCAGCTCTGCACGCTGATCCTATCATGGCCCTGTTTAAAAAGACATCCGCTTTCAAACCATGGAAAGCCGAAGAACAAGAAGGATGGACACAAAGCAACCATTCTCATTTTACCGTGTGGTCTCTTGAAAAGTCAGATTTTTTTTTTCTTCTATTCTCCTATTCGAGCCCAGTAACATAGCTGTAGTTGTGTAGTGGGCAACTTTTAAAAGCAATTACATCTTTCAACACAGAGAAACAGCTCGTTGCCAGGAAACATTTGAGGAGAATTTTGACCCTGCCTATTCATTTCGCTGCTTGGACGACTGCCGAGTGTATCACCACCCTGACAATCACAAGCAGAGTAATAATGAATAATGACAAAATTACAATGTCATTATGCAGATGCAATTCATACCATCTGCTTGAGTGTGCATGTGTTTATTTGATGTCCCAGCTTTTTCAAATCAATGCTAGACTATATTTGAGCCATTAAATACAATTTATAGACCTCTCTGCTATGAAATGATAACCCTTCTGCAAATATGCATGCGTCTGAAATCAATGTGCATGCAGGACTTACGTTAAATACACAACATAAATGATTATAGTCTGTCTGATTCAGCTATGTAGGCAAACAAAAAAAACCCACATTGTTTGCAATTGTTTTAACCTCTTGATCAAATTCTGAGAGAGGAAAGCAATGTCCTCATAGTGCAAGCACAGTGTCAGCAACT